GGTCCTTGATCGATTCGTCCGAAAGTCGCACGGATAGATTCTTATTTTTCCAGATAGTTCTTATGAGTTCGTGTAGTTGGGATTTGACTGTGTTTTCGGCATGTTCCAAGAGTTCGGCGGTTATCGTGTCTTTACCCGGAGAATTATTGTTTTTCAACTTTTTTATAGCGTTCTTAATTTACATTCAAGAGGGGTATTCTTCTCGCATTTCCGCAGTTTGGAAGCTGACCGGTTCTTTGGTGTTTGTATAACCTTGGTTAAGTGATTATTCAAAGTACTCTTTCCATGTTTGCAGCATTTGATCTTGCCTGGTTACTAGATCTTCGTTGTCGTTTTTGATGATGCTTTTGGTTGTGGATCTAAAGCCATTCTTACTTGTTCTTATGGTCTTATATAGAATTTTCTGGTGATGTTCCTTCCATCAACTCTCAGCTCCTGCAACTCCTGATCTTGTTGTTCTCGTTTTTTCCTTCTAAGTAGTTTATTAGCTTCTCTTTTTAGTTGTCTGAATTTACTGTTTATGTCTTCAGTAGGATCCTGCATACTGCATAATTACTAATCTTGCATTATTTCTCTCCCTAAACGTACCCTCTCACATTCCAGATCGTACCAGTGGCTTCTATTTTTGTTTCTAGGCTTTACACCCGCACAGATCTTGTTGCCTCTATGATTGCTTCGGATAGTACTTTCCAACTCGTATTGATGGCATCAGTGTTTGTTATTTCTTGGTTTGGTTCTCTATTTCCGTCTGGAAACATCTTCTGATTTCTTAGTTTTCCAGTTTTGCTGTATACCTATCCCACTGTTAATCCTTTTTTTTTGAGCTTGATATTCTGATTCTCTGCTTTGCTCTAACAAAAAAATGGTCCGAGTCCGCGTCTGTCCCTCGACAGTTTCTTACATCCAAGACGTTGCTTCCATGCCTTGCATCAATTAAGTACGACGTGATCAAGAAAGTAGAAAATGTATTTGATAAAGAGAAATTGAATTTCAGAAGAAGGAAATTGTAATTCAGAGGGGAGTTATTAATCAGAATGATCAGAATATAAAATTTGAAAGGATAACGTACACCTAACATGGGATTTTTGGGCTCTATGGATTTTACCCATTTTTTTTATATGTTGTAGAGGATTTAAATCTTAACAACCTTTAAATGGGACGAAATCTTGTAGGTATTTTGGTCTTTGATATATGAGAGTTGAAAGATAAACTTTTTTGCAACTTTTTGTATGGAGAGTATACGAAATACTGGTGTTTATAAGTCAAAATATTGACAGGTTAATATATTTTATGTCATACCAATACATTATTGTGTTTTTATACCTTAGATACCATCTATGTAATTCATTACTTTATGCCCGTGCGGGCATAAAGTACACATTATGGCCCGCGCGGGCATAAAGACGCAAAAAACAGTTTTCAATTATTCTTTATTAACAAAATATAAATTTACGCTGATAAACATATTATTTTTGTCAAAAAATTATGATGTTTGCACACTGATGACAATTTGCGAAGTGACACTTTTTTCCCAGGTATTTATTATTCACAACCAACTGGTATGACATAAAAGTTTGTATGCACCACGGGTACTAATAGATATACAGGGTGGTCCATTTAACTTGAGACAGTCTAATATCTCGAAAACGGTGCGTTTTTGAAAAAAAAAGTTCAAATAAAAGTTACATGGTATCATAGGGGAAACAAAATGGCGGTACTGATTTTTGACTTTGACAACGTTTTCAAGGTTATTTCAAGGTCAACTCTTTTTTTTTCAATGGAAATATATTTTTTTATTACAGAATCTTATTCTACAGAAAAAAACAAGTAACTTTTACTTGAAGCATTTTTCGATCTGGTGTCAATTTAAACTGATAAAAAAGAACGAATAATTTTTTTGTTTCCTCCTCACAAAATCGAACAGTAGAGAAAGGTTACCTACCAAAAATACCTCAAAAACTATAACAATTGATCAAAATGACCACCGCCATCTTCAACACACTTGTCAATTCACTTTAAAAATCAAACACACAGTTTATCAAGAGGTTCCCACAAGACCGGATAATATAATGGAACACATAAGAAATGCTTAGAGCTGTCAGTAAAGAAACTGTAATTTGGTGCCATGAAAGCTTTTTACAGCGAATTAACAAGTGTGTTGAAGATGGCGGTGGTCATTTTGATCAATTGTTATAGTTTTTGAGGTATTTTTGGTAGGTAACCTTTCTCTACTTTTCGATTTTGTGAGGAGAAAAAAAAAATTATTCGTTCTTTTTTATCAGCTTAAATTGAAACCGGAACGAAAAATGCTTTAAGTAAAAGTTACTTGTCTTTTTCTGTAGAATAAGATTCTGTAATAAAAAAATATGTTTCCATTGAAAAAAAAAAGAGTTGACCTTGAAATAACCTTGAAAACGTTGTCAAAGTCAAAAATCAGTACCGCCATTTTGTTTCCCCTATGATACCATGTAACTTTTATTTGAACTTTTTTTTTCAAAAACGCACCGTTTTCCAGATATTAGACTGTCTCAAGTTAAATGGACCACCCTGTATATACCCTCGGGCGACTTACGAACCCTCGGGCCAGAGGCCCTCGGCTTTGTAAGACTGTCGCCCTCAGGGCATAATCATCTACCTTGATACATAAATAACTATTATTTCCGACTAATGTCACCTGCAGGGAATAATGACGAGTAGCGGGATTAATGGTCATTATTCCTCAAAAGTGTCAGTGTCAAACGTCTAGTGCTGGTGGATTTGTATTGAGATGTATGAAATTTGCTATTAAAAATCTCAAATAAATTAATTTGTCGTAAATAAAGTAGAGTATACTACTCGCAATAATGGCTATTATTCCCTCGGAATGTTACTCCCTCGCCGCTAACGCGGCTCAATTCGTAAATATTCCTCGGGAATAATAGCTATCATTATTGACTCGTGGTATAATCTACTATTACGTCACTAACAAATGTCAACATTAAGCTAAGGCCGCACTGGTGCCAACATTGGACCCAATGTGGTCCCGGCCGTCCCGCCGGCCTTAGCCTATGTTGACATTAATCTGTTAGTGACGTAAAATATGTGGACCTGTCAATAATAATAATAATGCTTTATTGTCAAAAAAATTATAACATAATTTGTAGACTAAGCCTTAAACTTAAAAATACATATTATATACATCTACATGTATACAAAGTCAAAACAAAATGATATAAACATAAACAAATATAACATGAACAAATACAAAAATGAACAAATTACCTATAAACTATGATCCAGTGTGTGGAACGCTCAAAATTAAGTCAGAAAAAAGTCATTTACTTTATATAAGGCTCTCTCTGATAAATAGGATTTTAGAGCTATGCGAAATTTAGGAAGAGATGCTATGGACTTGATGACTATACTGGCAGATGATTGTGCATTTTTTTTGCGTTGTATAGAATGGAGCTCTTAATTAACTCGGAGGATGGAGTTGGCAGATAAAGATCATGCTCCGCGTTTCTAAGTGGATAGTTATGCAATGGCCTTTCTGAAATACTGGGTAGGTGTTTGCGGATAAGGCAGACTGATTCTAGTATGAAAAGGGAAGGAAGTGTTAATATTTTATATTTTTTGAAATATTTTGATTGATAAACATCAGTACCACAGTATTTCGTATAATCTCCACGCAAAAAGTCGCAAAAAAGTTCATCATTCAACGCTCATATTTTAAAGACCGTATTACCTACAAGATTTGGTCCCATTTAAAGGTTATTGAAAATTAAATCCTCTACAACATATTGAAAAATGGGCAAAATCCATAGAGCCCAAAAATTCCATATTAGGTACGTGTGCGTTATCCTTTGAATTTAAAATCCAGAACATAATACTCAGAAATGAAAATTTGTAATTCAAACAAGAAATATGTAGATACTTCAGAAATGGGAACTTTAATTTCAGAATATAGGTATAAATTGTAATTCAGAATTCAGATATGCAATTTTAAAAATCAGAAATAGGAAAATACGTAATTCCAGAATTGGAAATAATGTAGGTAATTCAGAATCAATAAATATCTATGAGTGCTTTTTTTTCAAATTTTTATCTTGGTATAGAGGGGGGATTGCTATCCCTGGTTAGGTATTATTCTTTCACCAATAGAGTTTTATGTAAAAAAGTTTTTTGGGTTTGGGACTCAAAATTAAACATTCAACGTGATAACGCTACACATAATTACATTTTTATAAAGTTAAAAAATTAATATAGGTACTTTCAAAATAACTAGCAAAAATCTCACACTCCTGCACCTACATACTTAATTTATCATGAGGTGCCTATTATACTATTCTGAATTACGCATACCATTACCTCTCTGAAATTAAATTTATACCTTCTGAAATACAATTTCTCCTTTTTAGTTTTTCTAAATTGTAATTGACAATTTCTGAATTTCAACTTACTATCTAAATTACAAATAATTGAAAAAGGAGTAGACGACACCTACTATCAAATTTTGTAACACTGCATTAAACGTCAAAGCATTTGACAGGCGGGGTTGGGGTTAGTTTCTGCCAAAGGGTTTATATTCAAAATGTTTTTCTACCTTATCCGATTCCGCTTATCCTGATACCTAATTCCTCGATATTTTGTAGCTGACAAAAAGATTATTAGTCGCAACAGTTGTTATTCCAAACTCAAAAATTAGAATTCATCTAAAAGTATTTCTTTATCTATAATAGGTAGCTAGGACTTTAATTTTGGTAAGTTAAAAAGCACCTTAATTGCTCACGCGTACTCCAAAATTAATTAAAAGTTAACAATTAAACAGAAAAATCCATCTAAAAATAATCCTCCTATAGCTGGGATAGTGGAATACTTGATTATCACCCCGACCCCAATCCCCAATGTATCCACTCACCGATTCCGTTTCACTCCCACCCGCCCACTATTACCTTGTCATTGTCCTTTTCTCGCACCTGTGTTCACCTGAGTCCCCACTTTTAGCTCCTACCCAATGGAAGACGAGATAGCCGCCACCGTTTGTCGTCTCGAAAGACTCGATCTGGCGAGCTAAGCTCACTCACTTCTTGGGAGAGAGTGTTACAGCGAAGACGGTCAGTTTGGAGAAAAATATCTTTTAGTTTTCCTCCCGTTTTTTTTTTTATTTTTTTGAGTTTCAACTTTAAGTTCGGTGTTCGGAAGACAAGGATTTTTAGTGTTCGATTAGTGACTATTTTGAACATTTTTTTTATTTTTTTTTGTGCGAGAGAACTATGATGGATTATAGTTTTTACCAATTAAGGTAAGATTTTTTTTTGATTGATTTAGGTATACCTATCTTGAAAAACTGTGTCTTGAAGAAGATTTTATCTCATACCTACTGAAAATATTTTAATACATACCTACCTACCTATAGGTATTTATCTCAATAGTCAAATATTTTTACTAATTTTTTAACTTCATCTAGGTACTCCGAGTAGGTACTCCTTATCTTTTTCTCAAAATATTGACAAAAATTAATTTAGCATCATTTATCACCTCTTTGCTTAGAAATAATAATGTTTAATTTTAATTTTTTTTTCGGCAAATCACTGAAGATTTAAATGTTTAATTATTGCTAAAATACTCTTCTCTAAGCTAAATATTGTCAATTTGAACAAGTTCCTAGTGTCCTAAGTAGACACAATAGGTACATAATTAAGTTTAATGAATTCTATAAAATCTTAACTTAATTTGGATGAAGACGACAAATTTGAGAAAGTCGACTCAAGATTCCTACAAAACTAGAAATTAAAAAAAATAATAATAATAAAACTTGATTATCTTTAGTTTCTTGAAATTATCTTATTGCGTCAAAACCTTTGAAAATGACTCAAGAAAATCTTGTCATTGACTGCTGCTGCTGACGAAATCTAACCTTCATTTCGTTTGCCTATATAAAGAACAAATTCGGGGAAAAACTATTTTCACAGCAGAATAATAAAAACAGATACAAGTCTAGTAAACAACATTTGTAATACCTGAATGATGTGATTGATTTGCAGAATCTTTAAAGCGAGGGGTCAACCACTATGCTTACAAATGTACAATGCTTTCCATATTTGGCGATCACTGATCCATGAATCTCATGTAGGTATTCCCATCCCAAGAATGGTGACTGATTGCGAATGATTTTTAGATATATTCGTATGATTACCAGGTGATTTCCATTTTTTCTGGGGATTCCTATATCATTCTTAATTGATTACTTGATTTCCTCAATGATTTCCTACAGTCATCCAATTTCCAGCTGATTTTATCACGAAAATTATGTCTAATTGTTAAGTATTGATATGACCAAAATAAACAGTACTTTCTCTTATAACAACACGTTTCCACTGAAAAATTGGCAACTTCTGTATTTGCAAAAGTTAGCAACTTTTTTTTTCATGGTTTTAATAGTTGTTGAGCCTCAGATACCATTTCGTGTCTACACTGCATAATATGGATCTAGAATAATGCATGGATATTTCTAGGATTTCACTAGGATGATCATCTGAATCAGAGACATCTTCAGTTAGGGCTTCACTCGACAAACTCATTTCTGGTTCTGATTCAGATGTGCTATCGTCTCTGCTCCTCGACCTGCCTAGTATTTATTCTACTCATCCTTTTCAAGTTCTTATTGCCCCGGATTCTCGACTTTTTCTTTTGTGTCTTCCTCAGTTACATTCCCATAGCTCTTAATACTCGATCGACAAAACGTTCCTATGCTTCTCTGAAACAAACCAAATTGAAGTTGAGACCTGAATAATCTCTTAATTGTAGCGAATAGCAATTGTTAAACCCTGATGTGTGAAGAAATTCTGTATCGTCTTTTGGCAAGTCGGATTCTAGAAAGGTTCGAAGATTATTGTTTTCATTTTTATGATCTACAACATAGACTTTAGGTCTGATCTCACAGAAATCACAATAAACCAGTCAGAGCGAATTTCATTGGTTGAAAATAGTCAGAAAGCTGGTTGTTATTTTGTACCCTAAATATTCAATTTCAGTACTGAGGAAGTTACATTTCTCTATATTCAAGCAATAAGCTCCATGAGCTTCTACACGTTGCAAGACTTCTTCCAGCTTGAATAAACCTTCTTCGATAGTGGTAAAGGGAATTAATATGTCGTCCAAATAAGTACCTATACCAAAGACTTTGTTGAATCTGAGTTCTCCCAATATGTTGTCTACAGCTCGTTGAAACACGTAAGGTGCATTCGTGAGCCCAAATGGCACTTTTAAATATTCATATTTACCTTCTGTCCGACTACAATATCGATAGTGGGAATACAGCACTCGATTTGCACCAATCAAAAGCGCTCTGACTGGTTTGTGATTTCTGTGAGGACAGGACCTTATATCTGCATCTCGTTCTTCTTCTTAGAGTTCTAAACTCTCCGTAGTCTCGGGTTCAGTTATTGGCTGAGTTATTGGGAAACTCGTTGGGATATCAAATTCATTTTAAATTGCCTAGCACTCAAAGTTGGCTAAAACTTAGTCTTAAAGGCAAATACACACTTGACCGGTACGCTGTATCATTTAAAATGCGTGATATGCGATTTCTAGATTCTTAGCGATTCCCAGGTGATTTCCAGGACCTCCCAACTCAGCCAAGGAGGACACGCTGATTCTTTCAGTGTAGCGCGCGTACAGCCCAGAACATTTAAGAGCATCAGAGACCTGTTATTGTTCATAGAAGCCCCTTGTCCCTCTAAGAAAAATTATTCGTACGCCGACAGTAAAAACTGCGCATGTCAAGGAACGAACCCCAAAACGACAGGCCTTTAGGATGTCGAATACGCCTAGTTAGCAGGCTAGAGTCTCGTATATTATCGAAATTAACCAGACAAATCGCTTCACCAACTAAGAACGGCCATGCACCACCACCCATCGAATCAAGAAAGAGTTCTCAACCTGTCAATCCTTCTGGTGTCCAAGCCTAATGAAGTTTCACGTGTTGAGTCAAATTAAACCGCAGGCTCCACTCCTGATAATGCCCTTTCGTCAATTCCTTTCAGTTCCAGTTTGGTAACCATACTTCCATCGGAACATATTTTTTTTATTCCTGGCTCTTGAATTTGTATCAATTTGTTTCTATTCCAGGCCCTTGAAGTTTCGACAGAGCAGTGATAATCTCGCTAATCCATTCATGCGCGTCACTAATTAGATGATAATTAGATGACAAATGTAATCATAATATTTCTATTCCCGGCTCTTGAATTTATTCTGATTCAAAAATGTTATTTTTAAATTTAATAGGCTTCTGTATTTTTTATAAAATACCGATTTACCCCGGCCCAGTGCCTAAATTGTTAGAGTATCATGCTCCTGGAGTGTGACGCTCTTGAACTGTTCGACAAAAGCAGCACTGGAACGCTCTCGTGTGGTAGCTTCTGAGATCTGACCGATTTTATTTGAGATTTTGTTATGTTTTTCCTGGTTTTTCCTGTTTATCAATAATTTTTTGTAGCCTTCTTAAACTACTTAAAATGTAAAAATTGAACAGCCTATTGAATATTTAACAATAAGAACAAAACAATAATGAAGAAGAATAAGAAACCGTCCAAACTGAATGAAAATAACCTCAATTTTCTTAACCCCCACCATTCCGGACTTTAGGAGTATGAAACACCAAAATAAAGGTTGGTGCATGACGGGGCAGGGGATAAGAGAAATGAGTGGTTCAAGTGTACCACACTCTAAGCACTTGAACGCGCGAAGTAGTGGTGGAGCACTCCTGAGCTGCTCAGGAGTAACTCAAGTGGGTCACTGGAAAGCACCTCAGGACAACGTGAATGCTTAACACCGGTATCTGTCTGAAAATTAGTGAATTGCTGCGGGATTCGCTCCGCTCGTCCCGCAGAGTTTTACATACAGACTTTCATATTTTCTATAAAATACCGATTTACCCCGGCCCTGCGGGCTCGCCTGGTCAGGAAAATGTGAATGCATCACACTGATACCCATTTGAAAATAAGTAAATTGCTGCGAGACTCGCTTCGCTCGTTGCGCAGAGTTTGACTCACAGATTTTCGTATTTTCTATGAATTACCAATTTACCCCGGCCCTGCGGGCTCGCCTGGCTAAAACAACTTTGTGATTCCCAAGAAAATGTACAATGATTTCCCCAAGTGGTTTACCCCTCGCTTTTAAGCTTATCCCAGCTTCCTCAAAAGTTATTCTAGAGAATTGACAGAAAGTTGTGTTTCAAATTCTTTGGATTTATCCTCAATCGGAGGTTGTAGTATTGGGTTATACATACCTGCATAGGTATTTACCTATCTCACCTGTTTGAAGAGATACCCAAAAATGTCAAGTATGAAAGTTGTAAATAATATCAGAAAGTTTTCAATGAAGTTAGCTACAAGTATACGGGGTGTGTCACAGAAGTTTGGTAAAGAAAAATTATACTTTCTAATCATTTAAGTAAAAAAATCCATATTATTATTTCAAACACACGCCACACTTTTATGTCACATTCTGTATACTTGTAATCAACTTCATTACAAAATTTCTGATATTACTTACAACTTTCACATTTGACATTTCTGGGTATTTCTTCAAACAGGCGAAATAGGTGTGGGTGCAAAATATAGACCTGAATACCTACTTATTGAGTTCAATTCATCATTTATCTTTTCGACGAAATTTTCTCGATAAGATGCATTTTGTGCAACCTGATAAAAGATAACGCTTTTTTTGTCTATTTGTCTATACAATTCAATGTCAAGTACAAGTTGTTTTACTACAAACAATATAGCCATTGTTAAAAAATACAGATCCATTAATGCATTTTTAGAAAAATGAGTTTTTTATCCCCACCAAAATTAAACTTTCCCATAAAACAACCCCATTTTGCACAAAAACGTTACACAATTTACACTGATGTGATGTTTACCTTGCCATCCACCCTCTCTCCCTATTTCCAATTTAGATAATACGTTTTTATTATTTGCACTTAGACTCGTACATGGTAAAGGTAACGACCCAACAATCACTCTCCCATCAACCCCTCTCTGGTTTTGGTGGCGGTTGCCATGGTAATTAGAACATAAACACCTGTGTCCGTCAAATTCACCCTAAAAGTATATAGGGTCGATTAACGATATAGACATATGGGACGTGCGGGGGTTATAGGGAATTATCTGGCTATTATCTGGATTCAGGGCTTTGGATATATAAATGATGATTGAGGGGTTGCTGGGTAAGAGCCACACCTTTTACATGGCTGATGGATTTTTCGGTTGATTGACTTTATTAATGATGATGGTCCAT